GAGAAAGTTAGTTGGAGGGGTCACGCAAAGGCGCGGCGATGTCACGTCATGTTTCCTCGTTTGGACCCTCTCACGGAGATAGTGTACAAAATAGATTCAAAGTGGTTCTATGTAGTTGCGAACTGATCACGGATAGAAACCTGAACTTATCTCACACTATCTCAGTGAGAGGGAACCAGACGACCAGAGATGACACGACATGGCTGCGCCGCCAAGTCCCTTCCCTCCAACTAATTTTGCCACCATTTTTCGAATATGAAATTCACTAACCGTGTAGTATTCGCTGAACACGAAAGATTCCTATCAGTCGCTGAATTTCGTGAGCAAGTGACTAGCAGTTTCAATTCTTTTTTCAGATCAAATGAAAAATATCCGTAGAGGTACGGCGAGATGGCTGAGTTGAACACGGCGAACGCATAAATGAACTTCCGAACATCTTTTGGGATCCTGAAAAGAAGATCATTAAAGGCAAATCCCGATCATTCGCCATCACAGATAGTGGATAGGGGTCCGCATATGGATAAGGTGCTGAGTAACTCGATGTGGAGAAGAAAGTAGAAAAAAAGCGCCACCTGCCCTAGATAGATCCCCATTTTGATCCCACTTTGAACGTGCCCAATGAACTCCATCTCCAACACTACGCCCTCATCCGCACAGCTGATCCCCGATAAGAACTCTACGACCGTACAAGTGACGATTTTCATGCTTTTCGTCCTGCAGCTTCTTTTTCACTGAAAGAAAGGCTCTGAAGGCGAAGCCTGGAATAAAAGGAGGCGTCAAATGAACCTCTATTACGCTAATACGCGCCCGCTCTGTTTACACACCTTCTTTGTTGGCGAACCGGTTAGCTAAAGGTTTGTTCCTCGCAGACTCACACTACCTTACCGACGACCATATTTTTCCAATTTATAACTGATCGCGGAACGAGCCTTCAAGCGCAAAACCCATTACTAACTATTACACTACTACTAGCTACTACTACAAAGCTATTGAAATGTTTTTTTCTGTCTCGGTTTTCTTTTTTACGATTAACTAGAATTTTTCTTGGATCATTAGACCGTTAAAGGCAGTGAGCACGATGGCTGGGGGCGGGCGGTCACTACCAGCGTCATTGGTGGAAGGTCTGCGAGAAGGCGTTTGGCCACACTCCACCTATTTATATACTGATGACGTTGGCACTGACCGCCTGCCCTAGCCATCGCGAGCACTGCCTTTAACAGATGCTGTGGATAGGATTGAAATGTTGGCCTGCAGGTGAGAGTTGGCCCGACAGAGAAGAAAAAAGGCAAAATGAACAATAAAAAACGCCCCGAATAAGGCCCCACTGTTGCTGTTGAATTTGAGCGCAGTATGAATACACGGTGAACGGCCTTTGAGCGCTTAGGCGACGGGCTAGAGAGCAAACAAAGAAAAAATAACAAAAAATTCACTAACCAGTCAGTTTTCGTGAGAAAATGCAGGAACATCATGATCGCATACGGTGTCCAACAGCAAATAAACGCCAGCACGATCACAAACGTCATTCTGAAAATGAACGTGACTTTAACCCAATTGTCATAAACACTCTGTGATTTGCCCTTCAGGGCTTCCGCTTGTTCACAGAGAAATTCAGAAATTCGAGTTTTTTAGTGGCCGAATTTCAACCCGTCCACAATAACAGAGGCAACAGACACGCGTGAGGCAGGTTTGCCCTTCGTTACGAGACGTATCGTCTTCATTAGAATGATAGAGGACGCATTCTTTGCCATGCAGTAGAGCTCTCTTGGCACTCATGCAAATGGGATATTCATGTCCACGGGGTCAAAGTACCCTTAGAGAAAAAGTTTTCTTAATGGATTCCACCTTGGGTACATTGCTGCCAGAACCAGTGACGCCACGTCTTTTCGGACCAGGCGACGCGTGATATTCATATTGAGGAGATTAAACTACCTGGGGACTAGATTCTAGCTAACGGTGATTTACGGTAATTCAGAATCGGCACCTGTAACGTCGGCGCCAGACCGTTTCGTACAGAACCGATGCGATATTCGTGTTCAGTGGGTCAAGCTTTACTAAATTGGAGCACAAGTCCGCGAAACATTCAAAAGTGTTTCGACGAATTCAACAAACTGGGGCAGTAACGGGTGAATAATGCTCCCTGTCCCCGCTTTCCCTACCTTTTTGATGTACTGAGAAAGAGGAATACTTCAAAATTCCCAGCAACGTGATCTCAATTTAGTTCACATGTAAACTGATTTTAAGGAGGTGGTCATTTCGCGGAGGTTGGCATGCTGATTGGGTGAGAAACTTCCAAAACTAACACGTAGAGAAAGGTGACCTCAAAACTTTTGTTCTATGGTCATAGATGAGTCAGAATATGTGCCAAGAATGCGCTTATTAGAAGAACAAATGTGCAAGCGAAAAACGTGCAGCTACTTTCATCAATATCTCCCGGTCCAACTTCGTAGAATGGCAGCAATTTATGTGAACATAAAAAAAGAGCATCTAGGTTAAAATGTCAAAAGTAAGAGTAAAAGTATGATGGAAAAAACCATCAAAATGCCCAGGAGACATCTGAAATTCTGTTGATGAATCAGGAAAATGTTGTGGTGAGATTGGCCTTGGGCGAAAAATTGCCCACAGCCGCAGATATCCCGCTCTGTTAGAACGTGGTTCTCTCAAATTTACAAACCTGCTCTACAAAGTGCGGATATTTGGCCCGTGCTTCTCGCGGAATCGAGCACATCGTCGATGTGCGAGAGTAATGCCATTCCAGCGCACTACGATTCCATAACGAAATCGGGCTATATCAACAGAATTTCCCTACAGTTTCTTCAAGTTGTAAGATGGGACAAAGCGCAACGGGTAGGGAAATGACTGACCGGTACTTGGTATCAGCTGATTACGGTCTGGATTTGGAGTTGGATATTGCCGTTGTGCCTCCCGTGCGAATTTGGAACTTTACCGCTCTAGAGACGGAAGATTGATGTTTGGCTTATTTGAAAGGTTCAAAACCTTGGACTGTAAACCGAATAGGCCCACAAGTCATTATATAAGCCTTATCACATTCTATAAGCCTCTTAAGCGATAACATTATCATAGAAAAGTAGTTATTGTTTGGGGCATCCAAAAAGGGATTGTTCCTCCAAAAAATAGTTTATTCTTCAAGTTGCGGTTGGCCAAGAGTCTGAATTCTCGATATGTAATTTAAGCAAGAATTACTGTAATTGAATTTGTTTTGATCTGTTGAACATGATGGCCTTGCTCAATGTAATCAAATCAAATAAATAGTTATTCCAGTGGAAAGATCTTCATTGCTGTGATTACTCGCTTATGAATTCACCCCACCTTAACGTCGTCCGACTTCGTGCTCTTTGCAGTGTATGCAATCCGCTCCGCCGTAATAACGCATCAGACGATACTTCTGCTGTAAAATTTGGGTTAACTTTAAGATTTACTTGAGCAGTGCAAAGATTAAAAAGCAACAAATACGTGAATAAATAAAAAACAGATAAACAATTGAATGAACAAATAAGCAACTTAATTGAATGGGATCAAGAAGATGGAATGAGGGGATCACAGGGCAGGTCGACCTTGTTATCCTACTCCAATCACCACCTGGTTTCGCATGGTATAAGGCACATTTACAAGGAACTCACCCGCAACTTAACGAAAAAGATGAATTGTAGTCATATCGGAATCATAGTAGTTTGTCCTAAGCACAAAGAAAGGCATTACAGTTTCTCTCAAACGAAAATATCCCCACGAAAACGATCTTCAAAATGATGCCACCGCAGCCCCTCCCGCATCTCCGGGGATGTGAGGTGCTTACTCACGCCACTCTCAGCAAGAAAAAGAGGGATTCACAACTAGTTGGGAAACTCGCGGAACGAAACAGCATTCCTTCTAGAGAAAGGCATGGAAAACTATAAAGAGAAACTTCCAGGAGAAGACTCACTCTTTCCTTTCTTCTTTGTCGCCGATTCCTCGGAGATCTTCCAGAGGATCAAGGAATAACAGACGACAGTGACAACCAGTGGAAAGAAATACACTTGAACAATATTAAGAATTGAAAAATAGAAAACGACCTGAAATATCAATAATAAATGAAGAATAAGACCATTTCGAAAAAGACTGCGAGTAAGGAAAGTCAATATGCTTCCTAGGAATAACTGAATTCTGGTCCAAAGCTGGTAAATGCTCAAGCCAGCACTGGCACCGCCGGCGACTTGTTTGCGCAACCTTATGAAGGAGGGTTGAAGGTAGAAGGGAGGTCCATGCGTAGAGAGGGTGAGTCAGAACTGCAGAACAAAGAGCGGAAGATAATGAAGTTCTAAGCCTTTTCGAACCTTTGGTCATATGGCCTTGCAAGGGACAAGCCCCATATGAGAGGTACACATCCCAACAATCATAGGGGGGGTCGTGTACTTGGCGCCGCAAGAGAGAATAAGTCACAGGTCGGTTAATCCCCCTTCCACTGAGGTTTGATAAAAGATGCATTTTGAAACCATAGCAACGTTGTAAATTTTTGTTGCAAAGCACAGAAGAAATCAAGCTTTTGAATGGCTCAGAACTTCCCCCCCCCACATACGAAGCCCAAGTAATATATCCATAAGTAGAGAAAATAAGTAAAAAAAAGAATCTAATAGAAATCTGACAGAATTGGGCGATCCACCTACCGCCTACGTGTCTGTATTAACCATCCCCTCCCCCCGTACCTCCCTTCCCTTCCATAACAGAAATCTCAAACATAGAACAAAAAAGAGAATAAGTGAAAAAAATCAAAGGGCTTCTCAGAAATAAGTAGGGTAAAAAGGGTGATTGAACTGAAAACGAGTTTAGATGTTAAGTAACTTACCCCTGTGGAGATCTCGTTGACAAGATTTCGAGACACGCATTGTGTATAGGACGGAAAACAAGGATGGGTGGCAGTTTTGAAGAGGTAGAACTGCAAAGCAAATTTTAGCATTTAATCCATCGAATAGCACAGTATGAGCATAAAAATTAAGACGAACGCGATAAAGGTAACAGCCAGTTTAAGGGCAAAGGATAGAACACCCGGCGCTAATTGGTACACTTAGGGGGTACCACGCACTCCACGGCTAATCTGAATTGTAGCGAGATTTTTATGCGACTTGGCCCATACAGGGATGTGCGAGAGTTAGTCAAGGATTCATTCTCTCTTTTCTGAAAGGAGCGGTATACCAGCTGAGCGACCCCAGTGGAATGGACTCGGTTAGCTTAGGAGGTTTTGATGCACGTCTCCAGCGAGACTGAGCCACGTCAAGACGGCTCGGGTGCACCCTCTTAAGGAGATAGAATTACGTGAAAGTGTCGCGCCAGAGTATGAACCTCACTGGAAGCTGCTCAGACCTCCTCGAGGCATACGCGCCTAAGAAGAGGAAAGCATCAAGACGAAAGAAATAAGAATTTCAGAAAAATGCCAGTATGTAGGAGCACAGCAGGGCACGTCCTGCTTTTGGGAAAAATTTGCAAAACATGACCCCCTTGGCTGCAGCGACCACG